AGATCTGGATCGTGCTGTTCTTTTTTATATATGCAGGTTTGACCGTCATGCCGATTTTGCGACCTGGCTTTCCGTGTTCTACACCATTTTCTAACATTACCGCGGTCGCTTGCACCATCATTTTACATGGAACCTACCGACTTCTCTATTTGGTTGCATCGCTCATTCCCGGCAGCAAGGCCACCCAGTGGGTTGTTCATCACCCGAAGGACCATTTTCGGGATTGGTACTTCCTAGACTCGATGAATTTTGCTCGAGACAAGGCTCAAAAACAAGCACCACAGATTGACGGCCATGTCTTGAAACGGACACTCAACATGCTGAGGTCAGATGATGACCTAGAGCAGTTCTTTGAGGTCATCCCTGGATTCTGTGCTTCAGAAATTGTCGACAATCCACGACGCAGTCTCGATATACTGGGTCTGCAGAGGCTGGCAGAGGCGTTAGTTGAATTCTGGAACCGTACATTGTCATCCGACCGGGTCTCCGAAACTGTCAAAGGACGGCGGCTGATCATCTGCATAAGGGTTATTGAAGCGGCAGACCTCTCCATTGCAGTTCCACGGATCCTTCAGCTTTTTTCTGGGGACCGTCTTGGAGTCTCACGATCGGTTGAAATAGGACATTCCCTGGGAGCCCTGCGCAATGGCAGTGTTCCTTCGCTTGCACGAGGCATTATTACCAGCATCATATCAATCAACGACGAACGCGATGAACGTTTGGTTTACGCTCGCAATGGACGAATTGGACATATCGAAGGATGTTTTTCGGCGCTACCTCGATCATGGCGATAGCGTGTTACTTGCTAACCTAATCCACATCACTCGCCAGTTCTTCGACAGCCTTCTCCAACGTGATTTGGATCTCACCCGGAAGTCATTATCCATCATTCTTCCATCATTATCTAAATTCGACATTCTCAACCCCCTTCCCGAACTGAAGCGCGATTTCTGTGCATTATGGAACGAGATCGTCCAAAAGGCGCGGAGAAGGGGGACTGATAACAATCCTTTCATTGGCATCCTTGTTGAAATCCGGAGCCTTTACGTCGCTCTACATGGTACCGATGCAGCCCTTACATATTTCTTTGCTTCCTCCGCTAGCTATGATGACCTTTTCTGCCAACCAGCTTCGTATCCTTTATGCACGATTCCAGACCATTACTGTAGCTTGACTACCCACATACAGGAGGCTGGCGGCAGCACAACATGCGGGGCCAGTCACTCCGCCACCACCACTTCCCCCATCTTCCTCTTTGAGTCATCACCACATCACGTTCCAACTCCCGAGCCATCATCTCATTCTGCCCCATCTGGAAGACACAGCCTTCCTATCACTTCACCCCATACAGCCACCGGCATAGTACAAGGCATCACTGACACCTCCGTTACTTCGTCTATGACCCAATGCCTCGCTTGGTGTCCCTCTGGTACTGGCGATGCTCCGCGACCCGATAAGGGGATGACCGTCAGTTCCGCGCTATTTTATTCTGGTGTGATCAGGTCTGATTATATCCGTCAGGGACTGGAATCTCAATCCTCCGCGTCAACAAATGCCCTCCCACACTCGAATCCACAGGTTGCCATCTCACCGGCGAAGGCTGTCTTCACGAGAATTGACGTTCTCCTCGCCGTACGTCTCTCGAACATGCTCTTCAATCAGGTTCTCTGTGACGTAAGACCATGACAGGCTGCCAGTGGGGTCTCCTCGGGTTACGACACTCTCCTTGAACTTTTTTAATGCTTGGGCACGATTGCCGGCCCCGATATTACTGGAAAGAAAGCGACTTTTATCCCGACAGTTAGAGCAAATAACAATGCCTAGGACCTAGACTATTATTCAGACAGGACTCACACATCACCCAGGCGAGTTGGGTCCTATGGTTATAGTCGCGAATCATTTGCGACCTCAAGATCGCGACTCGTCGTCGCAGAGCACCGCCTAACCCCTGGACAACTCATCCAAGTCGTACCCATCGATTCCGCCAGTCCATCATCACAGTGATTCTCTGTAAGGTTTGGATGTCGACCCTGATGGAATTTGGATATTTTCCTTTTGTTTTCCCAATTAGACTCGGTCTGATTCGTTTTATACTGACGCCTTAGAATAGATTGTAATTACAAATGCAAGGTGTGAGTCTGGGCGTGTAAACCTGATCGTGACCCGGATGTCTCCTCTTGGTACGTTCTACGATATGTTACATTCCTTAGCAGATGTCTGCAGGACTTTCCCTCCTCCCACAAGACACAAGAGTGTATCCCCCTTTCATAGAATAACATATCACGTTTGGTTACTTGGTGTCCCCCTTCGCTGCGTAGGCAATAACATGTATATAATTTTGAGTCTGCATTTTTGGTCTGCTGCGAGTTTCAGAAAGTGACAAGGGCAACTCGGATGTCGATCGCAAGCACCCATGGGCGTCCGCACCAAAAGAGCATGGCCCTTAAATGATTTTTGGGGGATTTCATGCTAAACTTGCAGTTACGTCGATGATCTGCGTTCCCAGGCGAAAGATCGAATTGCAACGCTAAGTCACACTACTGGGGTTGTCATCATTCGAGGAAATTTTGATATACGGTACACGTGAATCCATTATGTTTGAAGTAGCATGAGAGAGATGCATACATTGCCTACATTTATAGTACACACTAATCAGGTACGCACCCAACCACGATTGCGATTCATTCAGGCAGTTTCATAAATAGGCACCTCGACGGCGTTCGGCAGAGCGTCCAATACATCCTTAATGGCCTTCGACGATAGCGCCTTGTCATACACCGGGCTCAGACATGACAACTTTTTGCACTTAGACGCCCAGCACGCCTGCGCCGTCGGCCACTCCTCCAAGCCAGTCAACACGGTGTCCCCAGCAGGGCGGCGCTCAAGCTCGGCGAGCATCGAATGCCGGAGCTCGCGCCACTCGAAGTACGATATCGCCTCGCGGCAGCGTGAGCAACGCGCCGCGGCGGTATCAACGAGCTGTGCGTCGGTGAGGAACGGCGACTCCACTATACGGGCGCGGAACTGCATGCGGCGTTCGTGGTGAAGCGCAAAGAGCGCGAGGAGGTCCGCCGTGCGCAGGCGGAGGAGTAACGGGCGGTAAACGGGGTCAAATAGGTTGAGCGTGAGGGAGCGGGTAGAAGCCGCGCGCGCCTCCTCCCCCCAGCCGAAGTGGCACGCGGAGGCATAGAGCCGTAAGGGCGCGTCGACAAACGTAGGCGTGCGCAGGAGGGCCCGCACGATCGAGGCTGGGCCGGGCATGTCGTACTTTTCCGCTGCGAAGAGTACTGGCTCGACGGCGTCCCACGTGTCGAGAACTGGGATCTCGAGACCGCAGATCATGCGGAAGAGTGCCTCGAGCGTGCTCGAGTCCTCGTCGAGGCTTAATATTTCGGTGTCGGAGGAAACGGTGGTGGCACCTTGTTGGTTGCGCGATCGTGAGGAGGTAGGTGGAGAGCCCTGAGGGAGGGTGAACATCGTGCGGAACCAGGCTGAGGTCATTTTGAGGGTCATCGAGGGCACGCAGAAAAGCACGCCGTCGCGCGAGCCGAGCACCACATCTGCATCGAAGGAGAACAGGGGATGGTATTTGAGACCTTTGGGAGCCACGGGGTCTGGGATGTGGGCCGACTCGGTTTGCATGTCGACGTAGCAAGTGGGTGAGATACGATTACTGTAGGTTCAATGACAACTTCTGTCCCGTGAAACTTCCCACGCTTATCTGTGTCAATCTAATCTAATCTTTCTAGATAAACTTCTCTCCCGAAAGAACTGACCGCGCGTAGGTTTTTCCGGCACATTCTTGCATTGCATCTGCCACTGGCATCCAGACTCCTTAGTTCTTCTCATACCGCGAGAACTAAGGGGTAAGCGAAACTGTCTTGTCTACCACAGTTAATTTGTCTCCTAGTTACATATCTAGATACTAGACGCAATGTTGTTTTTCTCATACCAGGAGACTAAGGGTTAATATCTAAGTTATTACACTTGGAGATCCGTGATCCTACAGTGCGGCGAGGAAGACACACATAGCAGAGAGCGTACATCAAGAGGCTGTATCTATCATGGGTCCAGAACTAGTAGAATTTGTCGGCTGGTCACTGCCGAGTCGCTAGTCAGCTTCCTTACCAAGAGAGATAGATATGCTCAGTGTAACAAAGGAAAAGACCGGGGGCTAGAGGGGCAATGAGTACTCGTCGAGGTGTTCACGCCAACGCATCAAGGTCCCGGAGGTAGTGTACTGCCTGTACAGTATGTTGAGGAGGGCCTCCGGGCCAGGATAGGTGGGTTAGCTTTTGTCTCATCTCTCTTCATATAGAGCGGATATCCAGAGGCATATTTTGAAGTAAACCATTCTTCTAACTCGAATATTCTTGTCCACCGGTCGACTTCTTCGCGATAAAGTAACCTACAGACCCCATCATCTACTACGTCAGATGGAAAACGAGACAACAACGGAAACGTGCTCTAGAGGCGGTCAACGTTAAGCAGGTGGCCAACCAAAAGCCGATGCCAGTGTCCCTTAGCCACCTGCCCAACGCTCAACGTTGATGCCGTCTGCATTTTGTTGCTGAGCACTTTGTGTCGTCGCCTCTCTTTCAATCTCTATGTGGTGGCGGTGTGGCAGGAGTATCCAGAACTTGAAGAGAACAAGGCCAACAAGAAGCATTGTGTCTATGTCTATGATGCGGCACCGATGTGGTGCCACCCAGCGTTTCCTACGGTATCCTACCTTTCTTGGCCGACAAGCGCCAGTGGTGCTGGTGCGAGGGCCCCACAAACCCGCGAATTCCATTTTGACGTACGGGCAGCAAGGATATCTCCGGTAGAGGGTTAGGGGTGCGGACCGTACAGCAGGCAAAAGGGAACACACATGACTGTGCTGCACTGATCGATGGATGCTTCGGCGAATCTGCCTGCCATGGACCGCTGCAGCTATGTAGACATGCATGCCGGATGATAACTTGGGGCGAACCAGCTAAAAAAATTGTTGATATTCTTGTCCCCGGCCGGATTCGAGCCGGCGGCTTGACGGTATTGTGAGAAAACCACAACGTCATGATTTGACCACTAATCGACGGGGACGGCATTGTTCCTGATCCGATGAACGCACAGAATCTGCAATGCCTGGTTCAGGGGCCACTAGTACTGTTCTCACAACTACAGTAGACATGCATAAGCAGAACAGAAAAAATAGGTTTGAAACGGCGTAAGAAAGTTAAAAAATGGATATCATACACTTCAGAGCCTGCGAGACCAGACGAGACCCTCATGCACCTCGATCATAAATACTAATACACCAAACAACACCATGTAGGAAACATAGAAGAGAGAAAATCTATCTCCCGAAGAAGACGTCAAATGGGCCAGGGGGGTAATCCCGGCGTGCCCCTCCACGCCCACGAGTTGGTGGCATTGGTGGCGGTGGTGGCGCTTGCGGTTTCCGTGGACTTGACTCTCCACGAGACTCGGCTGCAAACCGAGCGATACGCTTTAGAGAGAAATTCTGAGCGGGGGGTGTGCGTGCGGGGAGCCGGCAGGAAGGGCAAGTATAGGGGGCCATGCCACGGGCGCCAATTTGGCGGTGGTGCGCGAGGGTTGTGTTGAACCAATCGGTGAGACAGCCTTGGCAAAAGGTGTGCCCGCAATTGGAGAGACTACGAAATATAAGTGTGGAATTAGCTTTCAACATGCCTGAGGGTGCGCCGGGTAGAGGACGCACAGATAAGGTGACCACATGGTGTGTGTGCATACATCACAGCAAATGGCATCATCCAAAGCCGAAATGCTCAACTATAGACTGCTGGTCAATAACCAAATAAAAGGATCCGGATGTACTGACAGTGTTCTGCTTCGTGTTTGCCTTCAACTGATTCATAGAAGCTGAGAGGTGTCTATTGTCATTCCGTAACATGTCGCGCTCCTAAGTTGGACGGGGCGAATCACGTTTATATGTGGGGTTCATGCTGCAATGAGGAGAACATGCCTGTTCGAGCTCGTGACATCGTCGTCGTAAGTCTTCCAATTCCTGCTCTTCGACCTTGACGGATGTGTCCTCTGATATTTCGAGTATTTCGCCTTCCGCTCTTGAGCGTCTGGACCTTCGCGAACCGCGCTTGGGTACTGATACAGGTTCATCTTCTTCGTCCGAAGAAATGACAATAATCGACGCTTTATAGTGTTTTCCTGGTGCATGTGAACGAGCGGTTTGGGGGTGACGATGTGCAGGCATGATGGCGTTGGGGAGGAGTAAGTGCCAGGGTTGGTGACAGCTGCCACCGATCTTTGGTTCAACTCCGTCCCCCCCGGCCCGGCCCGGATACAGCTCCACACGTCCAGCCATTGGCACCCAATATCTTGTCGCTAGGCTATCACGCCTTTCACACCTCTCAACAATTGTTCGGAGACAAGTACGGCATCGCATTGGCCAAATAGACATGATGCCCTAGTGATGCTCTTCACATGAAAGCGATGCTCTGCAGCATGATGAGCCAAAGTCGCACAATTAGCCCGATCAAGTAAGTTAATGCAACCCATTGTCTCCCCTTTGACGACACAATTCAGGCTCATTGATTTTTTTAACCCAGTGTATAGCCTTGTTGTATTTGAAGATTCTGAAAGTGTCGCATACCGAGAAACCCTCAATCGGAGCGTCATACCTCGAGTGGCTTCGTGCCGTTGTGTTGGGCCACTGGTCCCTTCTTCCTATCCGTTCGGCCAACATGCCTTCCTTCGGTCAGAGATGACCCAAACACCGATCATCTCCACAGCTTGAATCCCCTTGCTTTGAGGGATAGAACAACACGCCACGCCATGTTGTGGCTAATCCCGACTCCGTTCGCTTGGTCCACCACAACTTTGTTGCCCCGGCACCCAGTCTTCCGTAAAGGGGACTCTATTTAAGTGACCACCTCCTTTTATCTCTCCTTCTTCACCCTGAACACAATCGCTAACATGCTCGCTGTCCTGTGCTCTGCTCCCCGCCCGCCGTTGGGTGTTGCCGTCCTCGGCCTGTTCATAACAGCGATAAGTTCGACACTCCGTCTGCTTCCCTACATCGTGTTCTGTAGTATCATCGTTCTGTCCATTTGGGTCCCTTCGCGTCCTACCAACCCCGAGGTCATGTACTACCCCGTCGATGGCCATCGGCAACACGTCCATGTGGTCTACGCGTCCGATGTCACCCCTCCCACGGATGAGAACGGAATATTCGAACTAAACCCGTGCCTCCGCGTTCTCTTTTTCCTGCTTTCCATTCCCATCACGTCGATACTCGAGAACCTGCTTTTCCGTCCTGCTCGTGACCTTTTCCTTCAGACTGTCGAAGGCTGGTACGATATGCGCTACGTGCAGCCTGTACTAGCTACGGGATCTTGGCCAGACACATGGACTCCCATTTTGAACGCCCTTCGTTCATTCAAATTTGTAGCAGACTTCGTCGATGGAGTTATGGGAAGTGATTACAGTGAGTCTGCGGAATTATTGAGGATCTCAGCTCAAGGGTTTTGACTTCTGCAGGTCCGAGTTTGTCCAATGAGAGGAAAGCGCGCCGGGTTATGCAGCCTTCCACCCCAGGCTGTGACATTGGCGGGTGTGGTAGCATTTCTTCAAGGACGCGTCCTGCCGTGCAAAAAGCGTCTTCATCATACGGTCCTGGACACCGGAAATACCAGCGGAAGCCAGACCACAAACACACCCCATGTCCATACCCAGTCATCCAAAGTGAGGCAGAACAGTAAGGCGGTTGTCGTACAAGTCTTCCCTTACTACATTCCTATCTTATCTTATAATAGCTCGTCCGACATTTTTCTTCCCCGAAAGACATTTATTTCTCATCCATATGCTTTGTCGTCACCGCCACGGAAGCGTGACTCCAGGTCTGTCCTTTAACTTTCCTGTTCGCCTGGCGTTGACACCCTGTTAGAGCATCATTCCCTATTTCGAAGGACCTGTCCCGGATGATTGGAGTATTTTTTCGCCATCCTTCCCCTATTAAGGCCATCCCACGTCCCCGGTTCAACATCGAGACCAGAGCACTTTCTTCGAGCGCCAACAACGTCAGTTTTGAACGCCCGTCTCATTCCATTCCATTAGTTCCGATATCCAAGCGTAGGGCTTCGACCTGTGGCTCTGTAATCTCCAGCCCCGATTTCATGAAAGCTCCAGAGCGAGTTGAACAGATCCAGTCCCAGTCAACACAATCCTTGGAGCTTCCCCCTCTTTCTCAGAGGCCAGAACCCCAAATCCTGATGCGCCCATGGCTTTCTGTCGCTTCGCAAGAGGAAGGGCCCATCCATTTGCAGTACACACAGCTTCCTGCCTTTCATGCAGCTCCGTACCAGGAACAGCGTATCCCCGTTTACGAGCAACAGCTTACGGTCTCAGCACCGTCGAACATTTCGGAGTCTTTGATGGATTGTCCCCAACCTCCCCGGGTTGCTATGGCTTGCGAACAGCAACAGCAGTCAGAGCACATGGACATAGATTTTCACTGCCCCCCATCGCTTATGCACGGATTGGAGCAACACGCCTCAACCCTAGAATCGGACCTGCCTGCGTGTTCCCCATTCCACCTCCCGCAGGGTCATCCCGACGCTTCACAGTCCCAGTTCTCCAATGTTTCGTCCTTAGGTCGATCCTTCTCATACGGCCCGCCCGTGCTACAATGTACATCGCCACTTCCTGTCGCAGACCTCCAGGAAGGGTTCTCGCTGCCATCACCTCAATGTATACCATCCGGAGAACCTTTTCCAGCTGATCTATGTGCACCTAAGTGGACAACTTATCCACCTCCTGCCACAATGACCCTTGTCTCGCAACCCCATATCATTTGGCCGCAGGGCATCAACGCGACAGAGACATTTGCTTTTAATGTTTATCCAGATACTGCCATCCCCCACTTTGACTTCTCGCGCCAGCTGGCTCCGACTACCTCAACGTATTCAGGCCACACCGAATGTATGACCACAGAAGATATGTCGCTTGATGGGAACCACGTGTCGCAGCCTGTCGGCGCGGATCGCGCGCCGACGCAGCTCATTGATCAGAACGTCCGCCGACCTCCGACGCGGCCTACTTCTTCGTCCGACCACCAACCAGAGGCTGTTCCCCGACCTACCGCTCCTGTTGATTCAGTCAAGGTGAAAGGTGAGCCGGCGACATCCGTAGCTGACCCGGAGGTAACTGACACAATGAGTGACAGCCGACGACAAACATGACGATGGCGGTAGTTCAGACTCGGACTCCTCCGATTCAGACTACACGGAATCTTCCTCTGAGGATGACAGTGATTCTGATGACTCTGGTTCGTCAGAGGACGGTGAAGAGGGTGCTTCGGCTGCCATCGCAGGTCCTTCCAAAGTCGACAAGGGGAAGGGGAAGGCTCAGCCTTGTTCCGACAAATCTTGACGTCGAAACGCGACAACTATTACCAACTAAACATTCCGACACCGCCGCCGCCACCGCCGCCGCCTGACGGCGGATCAAACTATTTGGAGCAATTTCATATACCTCGAGGCATTGAAGACTGTTTCTACTTCGTCGTCGGCCCGATTCTTAGCCCCAATGATATTTTACGGCTGCGCTTCCCTCTCTTGTTCACCGTCACACGGTACGCTGAACTCATTCTGTAAGACCTCACCCCTGTTGCGGGGCGCGCCCACCGCGCCACATTTGGTAAGGCAGCGTAACTGATACAGGGGCTTGGGCTTTTGTGGATCGGGGCGTCACGTGCAAGCCTTTTCCTAATGTATTTCGTTTCATGAAACTTTAATTTCATCTCTTGTTACTTTACAGCGCAGGTGTCGTTTCCCTTTGCATACCTTTGTTGGATGTTGGCCTTGTTTCTTTTATCGGTCTTCAACTGAACACTTGTGGGCCAACGTAGAGTAGGCTGTATACAGTATGGTGTGTCATATGACGTAAGGGGTCCGGCTTTGGGCGGCAAACGTGCGATTCAGGCGGACGCAATTTGCCTTATCCTGAGCGGCAAGTACGCTGACAACCTGCCCTGTTTTGGTGCACTGGATAAGACTGGGACATACCCGGCCGGATCCAAGTTTTTGATCAGGATCCACACTCTATAA